AATACATATAATGTATATATATATATATATAATGATTTTTTAATATCTCCGCTATTAGATAGCGAATCTAGTGATTACTTATGAAATTATTTTCTCAGTATATAACTCGCCGTTACATCATGACGCTAATAAGTTAATACGTAATAGTCAGCATTTATTACAAGGCATTTTTACCTTTAAGCATTTCGAAACAAGTTTTTAAAATACATTTTAGCATTTAATTGCACATACTTTCTCATTCTTTTTAAACTTGAATACATATACTGAAAAAAATGACATATCAATTGCATTATTTTAATTGAAAATAATTTTTGTTTGTTTGTTAATTCACATAATAACACTATTAATGAAACAAATACGTCATCTTGGTTTAATAACATTTTATTTGTTTCATTAATACTGTTGTTACAAATCAATTTTCAATTAAAATAATGCTGTTGATACGTCATTTTTTTTAGTGTATTATACAAATATGTGCATATTTATTATTGCTTGTTATTTAACATTTTACTTGACTGTACACATTGAATTATGCAAAGTTAAACAATAGCGTGGTATTTTGCTAATGTGTCCCTCTAAACGTGCTGACGTTGTGATGTTAATTACCTTTTAAGGTTTTTCAGTCAAATAACATAAATCAATTAACTCTACTGATATTAATCTATAATTACATGTACTATAAATTTTTATTACTGAGCAGCCTATACGCGGAAGAAGTTATGTGTAATTGTACACATTTGCATACATTTTACAATATTTTACTTTTTTGTTAATTTTTTAATAAATTGTATTGTCTTTTAAACAAAATCAATTGTTTAAATACCTATTTTTGTGTGTAAGATCACATTATTACCTCTGTTTCTCTTCGAGTGTTATCGCATTTTTATAAATAAAAATATTTCTAAGTAAAAATATTTCGTAATTTTGTGAGATTATATAGAGTCAATTGAACAATACTTTGACGAATGTAATCGATAAGTTTTAAATTTAAACAATAAGAATCTTATTTTAGACCGTTGATGTCAAAACACAACAACACCAATACGAACTAGAACTTAAATGTCTATAACGGTCAAAGCTGGATCATTAATGTTTAAATAATTCAATGTAAATTATATACACATAATACTATACATGTACATAAATAATTGCATATACATATACCATGTTTATAGTCGTTTAAACTGCGCATCAAATTGGTTTTCCGGACTTATAAACGTAATTATAAACTGTAATAATATCACAAATTAAATTAAATTGACAAGTAATTTTTAATAATTTGATTGCTCAATCAGGCACCATATTAGCAAAATATTAATGTGCTGAAAAAACTGTAAATTTATTGCGAGAAACATTACCTCGGCCGGAGTAAATTTAAATATTGATTGCACAGGCGCACAAAAAAAAGTAGGATAAATTTTCAAAAATGATCCATTTCTTCCCATTTTTGATCCATTTTTTCGCTGTGGATTGAAAATTTGCCCTGGATGATCCTATTTTGATGTCAGATTCGTACTCAGCGGCTCAAAATACATAAGAATAGCTAGATCTCCATCCCACAGCACAGGGTACTTTTTTTTGTGGGTCTTCGTTATCAAGCAAGTAATATAAAATGTAAATAGGACGCCATAATCTTCTGCACTAATAAAAGAGGCGGAATGTTTCGTTCCTTCTGCACAATATGGATTTTTACGTCCGTTGCGGAAGGAGTCGCGAGAAGATATCGGTGGTGCTGCTCCTCGGTCACGTGCGACAAATATCGCCTAACGCACGTGACGGTGTGGATACCGGGCTATCTCGTATATTTTACCTCCGCCTCGCGAAGCGATATATCCGCGCGTATCCGCGCGATTTTTACCCCCACGAGTTTTGCATTTTATCGAGCGGCAACTCGATATCTCGAATACACCCTCGGCAGAGGGAATATTAGTTATTCCGCAATGTTACACAGAAAAGATGAATTTGCGCTGAGGTATCAAAAAATTTAGCTGGATACAAACCTGGAAAAGATTACGTTGGACCGTCTGAATAATTATAAATACTCGTAATATAATTATTTAAGGACCGAATAAAAGTGAAAAACTCTTATAAACGCGAAACTTTTACGTTGTATAAAATTTTCATTATTTTGTACCTGAGAAATATAACAAGATGTATATAACCTATTAATAAAAGAAGGAAGCGCTAAACTCTTAAATATTTGACAAAAGAGAACTTATGTAAACTACTTTGAACAAGAAATTATCCATAGGAGAACTTGTACAACATTTTAGCACTAAAAGTATAACACGTTCTATAGTACTCACAAAAATTAAAAATAATATCTTTAAAAGAAATAATAGCTACAAAAAATCTCTAAGAATTCCTTTTAAGAAGGAAAACTTCTATGAGAATTCTAGAGTCTTTTTTTTTTATAAATTCCTACGTTATTAAAGTTTTATACGTTCATAAAACGCTAATTATAGTTCATTAAACTTAACCACGTTATATCTCACGACCGTAACGGTCTCCGAGGAGAGTTTATCTCTGTCCCAGATCTCATCGATCCGGCCAATCCCCCTCCTGGATTTCGCTTAAACCTGATGATCCCGGGGCGCATAAATTCGGAAACAGACCGGCGGTATGTCCGGCGAATTTTAGTATCCTCGTAAAGTAAAATACGTTCCTCTATTCTCCTTGCTTTCAGCAAACTGCGGGGTCACGTGCAGCTGCAGCGACAGCTATTACCTGGTCCTTAAATGAAAGGCTAAGGATAGCAGACAACGTAGACAAAGGGTGCGCCCGTCGTGTCTCAACCATACAGTATCGTAATCCTCCGCCCACACGGGAAACTCTAGGCGGAGAAGCCCGTTTATACGTGCACTACGTATATACGGGGTAGCTCGGGAAAATATCGCCGTGCAAAAGTGCCTCCGCTATCCACCGGGATCCAAACGCGAGATACAAACGTCAGATCCTCGAGGATACGCGGATTTTAAGCGGTATAGATTCGCGAACTCGTAGATCTCAGGTAGCGAAAGACGCCATGAATCTTCGGAGACTCACCGATTTCGAATGTACACGTTGCTGCATTGATAGAAAAGTGACGCAAGTTAAAAGTTGGCATCTTTAAGATAATGAAAAAAAATTAACCCCGAAGATTAATATAATTTTGTCGATACATTTATAGCTCGTTTGTGCCACAACTCTGATAAGGGATGAAATTTACCTACCCCTTTAAGAAATTAAGCAACAATGGTGAAGGGGTTAGAAAATTATTCTGACTAATTCTAGTCAAAATCCCACTATCAAGGAAATATTAACGTCCTTTTTATGTCTTTTAATGTTTGAACAAAGGAAATATTGAGAATTTGATTATTTTGAGTCCTCGTATCTTCAAAACTATATCCTTATATGCTCAATTTCAATTTTTTCTCAGATCATATAGTATCTCTCTTTGGCATACAATTTGATTCGAAATTCGAGGACCCAAAATACAAAGGCTAAAAAATGTAAATTTTTGAGGCCACTCTTTATTCGAAATTTTAATAACGCAAATTCAATCAACAGCATCATGGTCGGTAATAAAAATTTTCAGATACGTATTGTGATACTTAACAAAAAATTTTTTTATCGAACAGTATTTTGTTCCAATAGAATTTTAAAATTAGATACTGAAAACTTGCTAATTTTGATATTCAGTTTTCTTCAAGGCTTAAGGACATATTGCTTCCGTTGCATCTATTTGAAATGTACCATCACAACAAACTATATACGTAATGTTAATTGTTCGATATCAATCATTTTTTTTGTTCAATCATTGCTGAAGGAGGATCTGTTTTTATTATTTTCTATTTATTTTTTACTATATATTTTACTTTTGTCTATCTGTAATTTAATTGTTCTTTTAATTGTATTGACTTTTTTAAAGAAGTGTGTTGACTCTTACTTTGCCCTTTATTTTGTTATTTATTTTCTATAAGAAGAGTCCTTCAATCTGTTAAATGATACGTATCTGATTCTCGATTATCAAGACTCTTGATGGACTCGGCTCTGTCTTCGCTAATAAGAATTTTTTTTAATTATTCCAAGCTCTAAGTTCTCCAGCACGTTTCTCCGCAACGCAAAGTGCCGGACGTTGTTCGGGCCCTTTGCGAAATATCC